CCCCAAAACCCCAAAACCCCAAAACCCCAAAACCCCAAAACCCCTGGTTGACTTTTACAAATTGAAAATTGAATTAAAATGAGATATTTGTGGTGATAAAAATTGGTGGAAAATGGAGAAACTGCAAGTATTTGGGCTGCTTTGAATTGGAGGATCATATTTTATTCAGGCTAATTACCTTTAGAATATATAATCATTCTTTAGAGACAATGTTGCTTTGTTAAAATAACACCAGATCCAATTAAAATAAAATATCAGGACTCATCTTGAAGAGAACATCAATTCCAAAATTAAGCAGACTAATGAATTATTAACTTACCCTCATTAAAAACACTTCTTAAATACCATGAAATCATCTCACAATATTTACAAAGGATTGACTCAATTTTTAAAATACGGAAGCGAATACTAATAGATGTAAAAAGATTCCTTATTCAACTTTTGAGATATATTGGGAAAAATAGCTAATATTAGAAACAAGATAGTCTCAACCCCTAAAATGCTTTCTTTCAAGTTCTATTATTAAGCAAATTAGAATGGATTATCCTAGTGTCTCATGGTCTTTTTGTACTAAGCCCAATCAGTTGAGAGCTTAAAGGACATAAGGTCTCAGGAGAGCTTCTTTTGTTAGTTCTATAAGATGGTTTAGAAAAATAACCAAGAATTATTAAAAGATATGGAAATCCTACTTTTTGTTCTTCTTGGCCTTATCAACTTAACTTTTACTGCTGGCTTCGGGGATAGTATTCTTTGTGGTCTCTTCAGCAGTAGAGGCTGAGCCTCTACTGATCCAGACTCTAGGAAAGATAGTAGTTCTGAAGGATGCAGTGATGATGTCCCAGTATTTGTGCTACCTGGAAAAGTGGGAGATATGTTAAGAATATTAGCCTTTGAAGGGCTATTGGAAGCCTATAGATGTAAAAATAACTCTTACATCAGTCTTTTTAGGACTCTCATCCTTTTGGGAAGGTTGTCACAGCCATGATTTCCTTACTTTTCTTTTTGTTGTGTTTTCTTCATCAATGGATCTATTAAAATTTAGCAATGATATAACAACATTCACTTACTTTTTAGAGGAAAGAAGGGTTTCTTCTTCCCTTTCGTCGACGCTAAAGCACCTATTTCTCTTAGCCTAAAGGTTTTATTTGACAAACATACTTTAGGGGGGATTTCGATTATTTCATCAGTAAGTCTCTTATCAATTCTAAGAAATTAATGAATCAAATATTAGCGGTAATCCTTACTTAATCTTCATGCTCTTAGGGTTCTTCTTAGGGTAGCCAATAATCTTGCATTTCTTCCTCTGAGCAGTCATGATCTTGTTAAGAAAAGGATTTTGAGTCATGAATCCTTTGAATGAAGTCTTCAATTGTCTTCGCTTTACTAAATTTTATTCTGGAATTTTACTCTTTTTAGATTTTGCTCAAGCATCTCTTCTTTTAGAAGTATCTACTCTTGCAGATAGCTTGGAAGGGCTCAAACTAGCGTTGGAAGGGCTTAATGTCAACTCTCCATGCTTCCCTTGGTGGTTCTGAAAAGCTACACTAGGTCTTCTAGTGTTAGCGTGTCTCTAAAATATTACTTAAAGTTGTCATACGAGTGGGGAATGAGGATTCTTAAAACTATGAGGTGATCACGCTCCCAGTGCCATTCACTATTAAATTTATCTTAAATACCTTACATTATTACTATCGTCCCTATTAAATGAAAAGAATCTGTTGTGCATGCTGAGTGTCTTGTGTGGATGCGCATCTACCCCTTGGAATTGATCTGAATCATTAGCCTCTGGTGTAAACATTCTACTATGACTGAAATTACTCTAAATTGGTAAACCAGTTTAATTTTTACATGTTTTTCAGTATCAAATTTCTCTTTACTTAATAACTTATTTCTGTGTCTATAACACCTCGATTTCTTTTTTCATTTCCCCTTTCTTGGAGTCTCCATCGATTTAAATCAGTTAATGGCTTCATCATCTTTAACGATCTTAGAGATCTCTTTCCAGGTTGACTCTTCATCTATTTATGGTAAAAATTAGGCTTACTCTTGGCTGATTGCACTTGGGCGTCTTCTTTAAACTCCATCCACTTTTTGTAGTTAATAGAGTTATTATATCCCTTGTAGAAATAATTGATCTTTTGTTTGAGATTTGTATCAGTATCGAGGGAATAATTCTCAAGAGTTCCGATAACACCTTGTTTCTGAATAGTGTTATTTTAAGCTTTGCTTCCAGTCAGTCTTAGGCTCATTTTTTAAAAGACAAGCGAGCTTGATCTCTCGAGCGTACCTTTGAGCAACAAAGTCTCCGTCGTTTACTAAATATTGCTCAATAATTTACCTTTTGGTGTACCTCCCAACGTGCAGCGGGGATGAGATGCCATTATTGTCTTCTTAGTACAAAGAGGATATCTAAATATAGATGTGAGTTTAGCAGAGCTACTGTTAATAATATGTAATTTTCAAATAAAATATAGGCTCGTTTTCGAAGGTTATATAAATACATACCATACGAAATTTTCAAGAATCTCAAAATTAATATAAAATATCAAGATAATCCACTAAAACAAATCCTATCACATTAAAAACTGCTCCATATAACCATCACTCAAAAAATCTGGTTTTTTCCAAAAAATATCAAATTTTTTAATCCACTCATACTCCCTCTAAAAACCTCACATACCCTATCATCTCTCCCCTCCTATACCCCCAACCCCCCTTCCCCACCCCTCCTCCCCCATCTAACCCCCCTCTCACCCTCACCCCCTCCCCTTACCTACTTCTGAAGTTCCACTTCCATTACAGTGCAAATAAATATTATTAACAAATTCCTTTACCAAATTTCCAATAAATCTGCTCCAACCTGGGGTTTTGGGGTTTTGGGGTTTTGGGGTTTTGGGGTTTTGGGGTTTTGGGG